ACAGTTTAGAACTGATAGAGCTATCCAGTATAAATAAAGTTAGTTTAGTTTAGGTTTCCTCCTGTAGTAGCACTGGATTAATAAGAGATGATCCTTACGGGACCTCTAGGAAGAACAGTTTAGAACTGATAGAGCTATCCAGTATAAATAAAGTTAGTTTAGTTAAGGTTTCCTCCTGTAGTAACACTGGATCAATAAGAGATGATCTTTACTGGACCCTAGGAAGAACAGTTTAGAACTGATAGAGCTATCCAGTATAAATAAAGTTAGTTTAGTTTAGGTTTCCTCCTGTAGTAACACTGGATCAATAACAGATAACTTTTACTGGACGTCTAGGGAGAACAGTTTAGAACTGATACAAAAAATCGAAATTAAATTGAAAAAAATCTAGTTTAATTCACTAACCGCAATAGTCTTTTCCTTGATTCCCCCGACGGGAAGAACCTGTAAACAAAGAAATATTCATACAAGCTAAAACGTGATCTAAAAATGTGACTGGATGCAACTGGTTAGGTATACGAGTTTTTACTTACTTTTCCTGTAAGGGAAACTTCCCCGGTCATGGCTATATTCTGCCGTACGGGTGTATCAAGCGCTAGCGACAGTAAGGCTGTGATTATTGTACAACCCGCTGATGGACCATCCTTTGGCGTGGCACCCTGAGCAAATAAGCAAAAAGTTAGCAAACAATCTCTCACAAAAACGTGTTTGAGTTACCTAGATTACCTTAGACGTCTGTTCACACAAAGAAAACTGGTTGTACTTTCCTTTATTTTCTAAGTGACAACGTTACTTCATGTTGCACTAGACTTGGCAGTTTGGACAATAAAATATACCAATATCAGTTATACCTCTGGTACGTGAAGATGCATCGAAGCTTGCTGGAAGAACTTGTTATCAGGATAAAGTTTAGCAAGGAAACCCTGGATGAGACAAAAATGAACGGATTCGATCAATAAGAGATGGTCTTTCCTGGACCAGTTTAAAACTGATAGAGCTATCCAGTATAAAGAAAATTAGTTTAGGTTTACTCCTGTAGTAACACTGGATTAATAAGAGATGAACCTCTATAGGAAGAGCAGTTCAGAACTGATAGAGCTATCCAGTATAAATAGAGTTAGTTTAGGTTAGATTTCCAGTTTCCTCCTGTAACAACACTGGATCAATAAGAGATGATCCTTACTGGACCTCTAGAAAGAACAGTTTAGAACTGATAGAGCTATCCAGTATAAATAAAGTTAGTTTAATTTAGGTTTCCTCCTGTAGTAACACTGGATCAATAAGAGATGATCATTACTGGACCTCTAGAAAGAACAGTTCAGAACTGACAGAACTATCCAGAATACATAAAGCTAAATTAAGTTTTATATATACAGTACCATAACTAAGCAACTAAATACCCATGTTGGAAGCGAAACCAGGATTCATAATTAATTCTGGTTAAAAAGATTTTTTTATTACAAGCTTTCGACTGCCAGTCTGCAGTCTTCGACGGGTAGATTAACTTGTAATAAATAAATCTTTTTAACCAGAGAACGTTTACACAATTAAATACCCATACCTTGCTAAATGTGTATGATATTTTGGCACTTTCTTTCATCACATCACCAAGTTGTCCAGTGAGATCCAGGGAAGGAGAATTTTTCTCTTCGTCTTTCTTGTTAATTGCTTCGGTCAATGAAGTTTCGATATACAGCGTCGAACCACCTTAAACAAAACATTATAACTGATGCTTACATTATCAGAACATTGGTAACTAGGCATGTGTGTTATCTCACCCAATTCACTCACATATATAGAGAATAATACATGGGAGCGCGGAAATACCAGATTTATTTCGAGTGTTATTTTCAAGCACCCATGTATTTTTCTGTTTATTATATAAACAAAATTCAGTGAAAAACAATAAAACGTCCGTGGCAATGCGTTTTACAACAAATGATATTTTTACATGTAAAAATATCGTATTTTTTACGTGTGTTTAAATACGATTTTTCTCAGTGGCCAAAAACTCTATATAACACTTATGTTTATATAATAAATAATTTTAATAAATGCTTGGTTACCTTTGTTTTGGCATTTGAAAAGGGAGTTCTGGCTTTTGAAAAGGTAGTTCTGGCATTTGAAAACTGAGTTTTGGCGTTTGAAAAAGGTAGTTCTGGCATTTGAAAACAGAGTTTTAGCATTTGAAAACGGAGTTCTGGCTTTTGAAAAGGTAGTTCTGGCATTTGATTTCAAATTATGTTAGTCGATTTCAAATTATGTTATTCGAATTCAAATTGTGTTATTCGAATAAAAGAAACATAGTATTGAGAGTTAGCACAATAGAATTTCTATTTGAATTATGATCCTAATAACGCTATGCCTTTGTTCCATTCTATGCTTACAGAAAAGTGGTAACTAGCAATAATTCTAAAGAAATAACTTTTCATTTTCATCAGTACTATCCATACTTACCCATGGCAG